CGTTATTACTAAGTAACACGCTAGGCTTAAAAACAATGATTCAATTTCATTAAAGCATGGAACGTTCTTTTTCTGAGTGTGCGACAAAATTAGTATTCTTTAATTCACTCTAAGCACATAAAGCATAGTTGGGGATACATTTATGATTTTTTTTAATCAAATCAAAGGACTTAGCATTATATCTTTATTCACTAGTAATAGGATAAATGCAGATATTATATTGTCATCAGGAACGATATTTAATAAAAATTCTGAAAAGTAACAACAATTCAAACATTGAGTGCGCCGGCATAATAAAATTGGTCCGCACGTGTTAGCGAAATTATTTAAAGAAATATTGATAACGTTTTTGGCCACATATCGAGCCACATCGCACGCCGCACCATCATCAGTTAATATTTTTAAAATATAATCGATAGGGGCAGCACAAAGTCGACAAAAAAATCTACAAAAGTTGTCTAAAACATATCTTAAAAGAATACATTTTACTCACTCTGTATTACATTTAGAGCTTTAACACCCATTACAAAATTGAAAGAAAACAATATTTCGAAGACAATCTTATAGCCATTTTGGGATTAAGCTTGATAATTGAATTTGAAAATGTACTTTTTTATTAAACTTCAATCAATTATAACTCTTTACTAATACAATATATCCAAAAACGCATATGAGATCATCTCCAAAATATTGTTCTCTTTCGTTTTTATAATAGGTGTTATTGCTATAAGTGCAGTATTTAGTGTGTAAAATGCATTTTAAAAAGATATGTTTTTACACTTTAAAATTTTCTGTATAACGTCCTCTTAAACCAAATATTATAAACGACAAAACGGAACACTCAATGATATGAAATAGTGATCTAACATTCTGAAAACATAGTGGTCTGTTATACGCAGTGTTGGGAAAGTTCCTTTTTAAATGGAACTCGTTCCGTTCCCCGTTCATTTTCTAAAATATGAACTCGTTCCAGATCCTAGTTCTTTATATTAAGAAGGAACTTGTTCCAGATCCAGTTCCTCCAAAATAAGAACTCGTTCCACTCTTTGTTCCTTTTATGTAACCAAGTTATTTAAAAAATTGTGGCAATGAGATCATGATAACGGTCATCAATGATTTTCATCAGCAGTCGAATACAAAACAAATTTGTAGTATTCCTTATCTAAAAGTATTCGAAAATTATATTTATAAGCAGGTAGTAAATGCTAACGACTTGTGTCAACGCGACCAATGTCTATTGTCTACATATAAGTTAGAAATAATAAATCAGAAAACCCAAAACCTTTAACATAAATTAGTTAACAAGAAACGACGATAATATTCGGTGCATTATTTAATATATGTACACATATATTAAATATTTACTGTATACCTACATGTGATAATAACTCTATCTATAGTCAATTGATTCATTTAAACAGCCTACGATCTCGGCTGGGTATATAGGGGACTTCCATTGTCAAAAGTCAACTAAAAATACCATAATATTTTAATGTCTAGATACGAAGAAAACTACACTAAAACATGTTAATAAAAATTTTTAGAAACTGTAATTTCCGTTCACGTTCCTTAAAAAATGGAATTTGTTCATTTTCCTCGTTCCTTTATTTTAAAAGGAAGCAGTTCCTAGCATCGTTCCTTCAAAAAGAACTCGTTCCAGGAATCCGTTCCTTTTGGAACTAGTTCCTTCTCAACACTGGTTATACGTAATATTAAAGAGCTGACCCGCTGATTATTAAGTTTTCTTTCGTCTATCTGTTGTTTTGAATATTAATTAGTAGATCATCATGAAGTATAATTGTTAATACATACAATTACTTTGTAGTCGTATTACTTTTCTAATTATTATTTAATTTAAAAGTGGGCCTAATTTTCTGTTAAACTGCTTTTGGAGTTATAGTCTTTTTGCACAACACATATCGTCCCCAGCGTAACCGAGTACTCCTAACTGAATCAGTAGCCTACCTGTAAGGACAGCCCTGCGGGTATGGGGCGAAACTTCAGCTAAGCGAAGCCTAATAATAAATATTAAAAAAATATTATTTACCTAAATACTTAGTTATGTTATTATAATAATCATCTCCGGTTAGAAACGAAAACAATATTTTATGCCGAAATGAATGTTTCAAATTATCTAAAACATTATATCGTGATTCAGTACATTTAGTATTAGAATCCGCGACGACCGAAGGATGCCGTGTTTTATTAAATAAAGAAAACATTCAGATACTTAAACAAATGGAGTGTACTATTAATAATAGTATAACAAGAAAATTAAAAACACGTATGCAAGTAATACATCAAGTAGATCGTATTGTACAATACGCTGACAGTAAATGGTCAGGCCCTAAAATTCAACAATCAAACAATGATGAAATGGTCAATTTTATAAGAAGTTTGAACGATATAGAAATAGGTGACAGTAATTACATAAGCGAGCTGAAAAATTTAGCATGCAATGTAATAGTTGATCGATGGGTCAAGTCACGGTCCGAGGGCACGCTTCAAATTAATGTGAGTTTAATGAACATAGATTGTCAATATCTTTATTGTTATTAAATTTATAATTTGTTTTAGGAAAAAGAAGAAATGTATGACGAAAATGACGGTCCGGCATTTTTCGACACAACAGTGTTTACCCAAGAAAATAGTTATAGTCCATGGGCTTCACAATGGCCGAAACCCAATCACGTCAGAAAATTAACTTATATTAATAATTTATAAACAATAACTTTATATATTGTAATAGTTTCTTATAATAAACTTATAATCTAAAATAAAAACAGTGTTGTTATTTGTATATAATATATTTATTT